ACTAATGATAGCGTTACTGATTATTAGTGATAATTGATATCGTCGAACGATAATTGATGACATACATATATGGCTAGAAAAGATTGTTGATTGTGAGAATTTTGGTTTTAAAGAAATTATTTTTTTGATCAGGGCATTGGAGTGTGTAAAGTTTTTGTTGTAATAAATATTGGTTTGTTAGACAATATTTGATTGATCTAAGATTATTGAATATAGTGTTGTAGTGTGTTGTAAATAAATGAAGATGAGTGGATAATGTCGGTATAAATATTATATTTTCGATGAAATAAAATATATAAGGTACTATAAATTGTGAAACTGTAACATTTGTAAATATTCAGAGCTTAGGAACTGGCTTTCAATTGAGAACCCTTGGAATAACAATTTAAGAGAACAACTCTACATGTATTCTTTCTTAGGTCTCTTTGTAAATGAACATCACTTATGAACAATAACATTCAGAAGTTAAACGTGTCAGGAATCAGTGACGCTCAAAGTAACATTGCACTTTGATGATTATTTAGCCGCGGCGAGCTTGCTGGTCTATTCTCGGCGGGGAGAATGGCGGCGCGGAGAAAGAGATTTCTAAAAAAATCGTGTCGGTGCGTGGTTTTCATAAGAGACCATATTTACGATGCGTCAGATGGTAACGCCTCGACGACCGTATTGTGCCAGGGACTTTATTAAAGTCGTACTTGCATATCACTCTCTGTTAACGCTCGTACCCGGCGGAACTTCGCGAATGCGGAATTCCTGAATGCGTCTAATTCGAGGAATTCCCGCGTAGGACGGGGACAGAGTTTTATTCGACGGTGAATCCTGTCTGTGAGCTGCGGCGAATAGTATCTCATACCACATGACTTCGGGAAATGCTTCAAGCATTCGACAACTGGTATCCATGTTTCCTCGTAATCTGTTTATTGTATGAACTATCGTTTGAGTATTGTATCAAACTGAGAATGCTTCAATGAAAGTATGCCGCGTTTTTACATGTTCGAAACATTCGAAATAGCTTTGAAGTTTAAATGAACTAACGAACTGGCGGACTAACTTGAAGCGTATCTTCGATTGGTCTTTTTTAAAGATTATATTTAATTACATTCAAAGTCTGAACTTACATTTAAAACTGTAAAAACTTTCTTTTGGAAGATATGTAACTGTTCTCTACTAATTTTTTAGTCAACCAATGGAATCGATCGAAATAATTTTAACGTCAATTTTTAATTTTAATTAGAAATTAACTTTAATTTTTCGTATCTTAAGATTTGATCTAAAAGATATTTACAAGAAACCTATCATTTTAAAATATCAATCTAAAAAGATACTACTGGTCTAAACCTTCAATATAAAATAGTTTTAGCTGCAACGAAATAAAGATTAACTTACAAATTATCTACGTGAAGCTCTAATACAAACTAATTTAGCTCCAACTAAAGAAGAATTAACCCAAGACTTATCCATAAAAAGTCTTCCGTCCCAAAGCTCGAATTAAAAAAGAAATCACTTCAATCCTCTAATACAAACTAATTTTAGATCCAACTAAAGAAGAATTAACCCAAGAGATATCTGTGAAAAACCTTTCATTCCAAAGCTCGAATTTACAAAAAAATCACTACGGTCGCGCGTTAAGAATAGCAATCAAGATGTCCGCTGCCGGTATTCACAGGAAAACCGGTAGGAATCCGGAGTAAACATGAGGGCGTTTTGAAACTGGTTCGATCCACGGATCAAGACGTTCCACGTGCGAGCCGGTTGGGATGCAAGGACAAATCTCCGGCATTCGTGGCTCGAGGGCTCCCGTATTCAGCAGGTAGCTCTCGTTATACGACGACGCCCGTGACTCATGCTATGCGAACGTCTGCATCGCATTCGCATGCAGGATGCCCCGTTCCGCAATTTCAAGGGAGCCATAGGAGTGGGAGAGGTTGAATTGCCGACATTGTAAACACGCCTATTAACCCGCGCGTGCGAGTTAAGAACCGCGCGGGCGAATCGTATGCGAGTAACGCGTGTAATCTCTCGCACCACTGCCCCGGCACGGCCACTGGGAAATACGGTCGCGGACCCGGAGCACGTGTAACGGCCACTTTCGACTTTTTCCACTGCACGACACACGGAATTCCCTTGTATGTTAATCGTTGGCGGGGTTCAACGACTGCTCGTAAAACCGAAACAATTGGAGCACTCGTGTTGGCCCATGAAGCTTGGTGATCTGGATGGGTCCTTCGATATCAAGGTTTGGAAGAATTAGAGGGAAGATTTCAAGTTCAATGTTAACACTAAATCTGCCGAGATATTAAATTAAATTTTTGAAATTTCTCTATAGAAACTCCAAGAATGCATCTATCGAGATTTCAGTTGATTTACTTAATTCAGTTTGCGTATTGGTAGATCAATTTCTTTAATAATTTCTCAAAGGAACTTCTGTTATTTTTTTAATAATTGCAAAAAGGAAACATCAAGAATGGATCATTTTACTCATTTTGTGACTACTTATTTCAGGAGCTCATTTTTTAATATTTTGGATATAGTGTTGGTTGTTATTGGAGAGTCAAGATAGTGCAAGGTAATTTTAGTAGTTTCATTTATTATTGAATAGTATGGCTAGATGTGATTTATTTAAAAATTTAGGGACGTTTAAAATACAGTATTGAAAGTTAAGTTAACAGTTTTAATGCGAAATCGTTACTCCATTCCTCTGGGTCCTACACTTTGAAAAAATGAAAATAAGAAGTAGAATTTTTTATAATATATTTATCTTAGTAATTGTATATTAGATGAATGATTGCAGCTTCTTCTAAATCGTCTGAAACGTACAATATCTCCGGTATGGTCTAGTGGCTAGGATACCTGGCTCTCACCCAGGAGGCTCGGGTTCGATTCCCGGTACCGGAAAATAAATTTTTTCGTTTCTCTATAAAGTATTAGTTTAACACTAACTGTTACTTTTTCAACTCATACATCTTTTTTATAAAAATATTTC